TTTTTTTCCATCATGAGAGTGCACATGCTCATTCTGTGAAGGCAGCAAGAACTATCCTGTCAGAATTTCACTGGGAAATCTTACCCCATCTTTAGAACTCAGATCTTGTACTTCAGTACTTATTTTTGTTCCCAAAACGCAAAAGAGAATTTTAAAGGAACATGAATGACTTAAGTCTTTCTATATGATACCCACACTGCTGTTTTAATGTAATGTAAATCACAGAGCACAGAATTCTTTAGGGAAAGGGTTAGAGAGATGGAAACAATACTTTCAAAACTACATAAACATAGATGAAGGATATGTCAAGAAACAATAGCTTCACATTTTAATATTTTTGTTCAGTAAAGGTTTTTATGATTCTGTAACAATGCTTTTTAGCTTACCCGTGTGTGTGTGTGTGTGTGTGTGTGTGTGTATTCTACCTCTTCTTTACAAGTTCACTTCTCTTTTTCACCAGAATCTTCTATATCAATAACTTTCAAACAGTTTGCTTTCAGAACAAGTCCCATTAAACTATTAAAAATTATTGACGACAGCCAGGAACTTAGGGGAGCACAGTAGCTTTGTAGATTATGGCAGTGGACTGTGAACCACAAGGTCAGCAGTTCAAGCCCACCAGTCTCTCTGTGAGAGAAAGATGAGGCTTATTGCTCCTGCAAAGATTTACAGTTTCAGAAACCCTATACAAGGTCTCTTTGAGTCTGAACCAATTCATCAGCATTTAACAACAAATACATCAGAGCTTGGAGTCCCGGTGTGGCACTATAGGATAAGCACTGAACTGCTCACCATAAAGTTGGTGGTTCAAGTCCACAACTGCTCTTTGGAGGCTATATACAGGGCCACTATAAGTTGGAACAGAATAATGGCACTTAACAAAAGCAACAATAAGAAAGGTTTAGTTTATGTGGGTTGCATTACCAACATTTACCATATTAGAAATTAAAACACAGTTTTAAACATTTATTACGTTAATACACATTGAACATTGATGAGAATAAACATACATTGTTATAGCATATTTTAAAAATAGCTACATTAAAAAAATATTACGGAGACTAGTGGCATTGTTTACATTTTCTAAATTTCTTGAATGTCTAGCTTAACAGAAGATAGCCGGATCCGTATATCTACAACAGATTTCCATCTGTTGCAATGTGTTGTTTTGATCGAAATATCTGAAGAAAAATCTGTCCTCACATAGAATTGTACTTGTAAAGAAGAGGAATATTTTAATAGCCTTCTTGATAACTGTGTGTATTCTTCTATGATAGTATACTAACACTTGTATGATAGCAAAGGGTAGTTTCTTAATCTGGAATCTGAAAGCATTATCAGTGAACTTTCCATACTATGTTCCATTAAAGTCTATTGACCTGTTTTTTATAGTGTGTTAATCTTATATCCATATAGATTTTTTTAATATCATGCATTGATTATTTGGAAAATTTTATTCACTTAAGTATTTTTTTCCAAATGTTAATATTTCGTTGCTCGCTGTTGAAAAAATTTATGTTAGTATCATCTCCAACCAAATCAGAAAGCTTTTAAAGCATTGAGACTTTGTCAGGCTTGTAGTGGTAGACAACAATGCTTTTAAAAACTCTTTTTGCTTCAAAGCATTGATTTTATCATTAATAGCAAATACTTAGTATTGTTTCCTTGAAGTGACAGGCTCAATTCTCTCACTTTAATGAGAATGTCTGCCGAGATACTGCAGTATGAATAACCGTCTTTTGCAAGTCAGTCATTCTTTTAAGTGAAATGACACTGCATATACAAAATGGCTAGTTCCTGCTCACAATCCTAATTGCGTAAGTTTTTTTTTTTTCCTTCAAGACAATATTGTCCTTAGTTATGTCACACAGCAAGCAATACATGCAGACTTGATGTTTTATCAGACAGAATATTTAAAAAGGCATGTACTTAATGGTCTAGGTTCCTAAATTCCCCTTCTTCATTAAGGTCATTCTTGTATAAAACTGGTTCCTGTCTCCCACCCCACCCAGCTCTCCAACCCTCCAGCCTCCCACTTCTCACCCCTTGCTCCCAGCCCTGTCCCCAGAAGAATATGACTAGTACAGCTCATGACCACTATGTAGAGTTTACGGTGCTGCCATCAGTTTCAGTACTTTTGAGCCATTAGTACAAATGTGTGCAATGTGCAAAAGGCATATAATGTATTAGTATTATTTTGAAAAAGTTTTGATTGCAAGATTCCTAGTCTTGAAGATCCACCAGGAGTTTAGATTACACTTTGTGAAGCAAATTTCAGAGGAATTCTGTTGGAACTACCAGTTACATTCAAACCAATTTAGGTATTAATTTTTGATATATGTATACATATTTAGCCAAATAGATTTTTGATGCTACTTTTAAGATAAAATTAATGAACAGATCAATCTTCCCTCTCTCCATGCAAAGGATTTAGAAAGACGAACTGAAGAACTTACAGAACTTTATTTATTAGAAAAGTGTTATCCTGAAGCAGAGAAAATAAAACGAGAAAATAGATTACTTTCTCGGGTAAGATTGACTTACATCTTTTTTTTTTTAGTCTGATACCTGTTTTGATTCCAATATTTTAAGTGTGCCTATAAAAAAAAAAAA